TCAGTCAGTTGCTTTTCCAGTGAGATTTTTCACATTGTCTTCTATTTTTTTCATTCTTTTGATTGATTCTTTATATCTCATAGAGTCATTAGATTCCACTTGCTTAATTCTAAGTTTTAAGGAATTATTTTCTTCAGTTAGTTTTTGTGCTTTCTTTTCCATTTGGACAATTTTACTTTTCATGGAGTTGTTTTCTTCAGTAGGTTTTTACCTTCTTTTCCATTTGGCCTCTTCTATTTTTGGAGAAGTTGTTTCCTTCCATGGATTTTTGTACATCTTTTTCCATTTTTTGTGCTTCCTTTACCAAGCTTTTTTTTTTTTCATGATTCTCTTGCATAATTCTCGTTTCTTTTACCAATTTTTCTTCTGCCTCTCTTGATTTTTGAAATTCTTCTTGAGCTCTTCCAGGACTTTTTTTTTTTGCCTGAGACCAATTCATAGTTCTCTTTGAGCCTTTGTGTGTGGGTGTTTTGACATTGTTGTCTTCTGATTTTGTGTTTTGATCTTCCTTGTCACCATAATAGCTTTCTGTGGTCAGAGTTGGTTTGTTTGTTAGTTAGTTTTTTTTTTATCATTTTCCAGACTATTTTGTGACATTTAAAGGTGAGCTCTGCTTTTTGGGGGATGGGGGCCCTGTCACAAGCTTCTTGGGCCACAGTGGCCTGCTGCATCAGGGTCTCTGGGCCTGGTGGCTCACCTGCTGCCCTGGGGTTGCAGTTTGGCAGTTGTCTGCCACGGGGCCTTGGTTGCTGAGCTGTGAAGGGGCTAGAGGCTTCCTGCTGGCTTGTCTGGATACTGCCTGAGCTGGGCTCTGCTCCCCTTTTACCTGAGTGAGACAAACCTTTCCTGCAGTCCTTCTAAGTTATCTTGAGCTGGAAAATTCTTTCACTCTGACCTTTTGTGGGTTCTGTCACTCCTGAATTCATTTGCTTTAGCATGGTTTAGAGTTTGGGGGGAATTTGGGAGAGCTTGGGAAAGTTCCTGCCTTTTCTCTGCCACCTTGGCTCTGCCTCCACACTCTAGTTTTTTATTTTTATTGATACCTTTTGTTTTTAATCACCTTCATTTCCAAATATTCGGCACCTCACCTGAATCTCATCATATATACACTTGTTTCACACGAGTAACCTTCCCTTTCTGTAAGGAAGGGAGGAATCAGTTTCACATTTCTCTTAGATGACAAAATGGGTCATTACAATTAACAGTGTTCATTTTCATGTTTTTTCTTTCCACTTACACAGTTGTTATTATGTATATTGTTTTCCTGGGTCTACTTCTTTCTCTGTCAGTTCAGCTTGTTTTGTCTGTCTTTTTTGTATTCCTCCTGGGTAATGTTTCTTATGGCACAGTCATACTCTGTTACATTCATGTACCAAAACTGGCTTAGCCATTCTCCAACTGATGATGTAGAATCTGCCTTTCAATCTTTGACATCCCTGGAATATATGCCTAGCAATATCAAAAGGAATGAGTATTTTAATCACTTTTCTAGCATGATACCATATTGCTTTCCAGAATATTTGGACCAATTCATATCTCTACCAACAGTGTATTGGTGTACTTCTTTTTTAAATGATTTAATGATCTTTTTAAAACTAAGTTTTATTGATACCATCACTGTCTGCATTGGGTCTTCCCTCATTTAAAAAAAATACTGTTAAGCAAACATAACTAATGCAGTGACCAAGTTTGTTGGTAACATCCTGTCCTAGGAATCCTCTGTCTCTCTACTGAGAAAGGAATTATGTTTCAGTGTCTATTATCTGATACTATTATCGGTTGGAGGTTTTTTGTTTTAGTTTTTTTATTTATAAACTTAATGATGATCAAAAAACAAATATATCAGTATACAAAGTAGCATGAAAATGATTGTAGATAAAAGTTTGAGGTTCTATTACATATAGTTTGTTTTTTAAAAGTGTATATTAAGTTAAACAAGAGTCCTCTTAAGAACCTTTTCTTATGTATTTTTAAAATGTTTAACTGATGTCCTTTTAATTTAACACGATTCCAATCACCCTTTTCCCATTGCTTCTCAAATGAATAGAAGCCCTCCTTCATAACATATATAGTAAAGCAAAACAACTAAATATATTAGCTATGCTTGAATGAACTTCTCATTTGGCACCTTTAGTCCCTCACCTCTTTTCCACGAGGTGAATAAGCTGGTCTTTTTTTTTTTTAAGAAGCAGTTAGGATTTATTACTTTTTTTTTTTAAAGTACTATAGAAGGCAAATTCAGGGATTCATTTAAAAAATTTTTTTTTTCCAAGAACAAAAATTTTCCTTTTCTCCCTGACCTCCTCCCTCCATTGAAAAAGAAAAAAGAAAACCTTTGTAACAAACATACATAGTCAAGCAAAACAGATTCCTTCATTGTATACCTCTTTCTACAACTTCTTCAATGAGGACTATTTTCATATATTGTCGTCTTTGCCAGTTTAACTGAATGTGAGTTGACACCCAGAATCAATTTTAAATTTTTTTCTTATTAGAGATTTGGAGAACTTTAAAATAACATTGTTGTTAGTAGTTTGCAATTCTTTTGAGAACTGTTTGTTTATATCCTTTGACTATATATCCATTAAGGAATGAATGATACTTGACTCAGATATCTGTTCATTTTCCACCCATCTTGGATACCAGACCCTTATCAGAGATATTTGATAGAAAAAATTTTTTCCTCAGTTGACAGCTTCCTTCTTAAACACTTTGCTTTGATTATTTTTTTTTTGTGATTGAATATGTCTTTTATTTTTTGTGGTAACCTCTATCCCTTGCTTAAGAATTATCCTCTGCCCAAGATTTTATTTTATTTTATTTTTTGCCCATAGATTTGAAAGAAGCACCTTTGTGTTCTGTAAGTGAAGCCATGCCCTTTTTTAACTTTTCTCTTTCACTAGTGCTTGTGGCATGATTTAGTGGTGAGACTGGGTAGCAGAGGACAGTTGAGGGCATTCTGTCACATTTATTGAGAAGTCTTCTACTTAGGCTCTACTCAGTGTGAAGAATTGAGATTCAAAGGAAATAGATGAAGTGCCCGTCTGTACTTCTAAGGAGGCAGTAGTCTGGGGTGGAGGTGGGGGGATGACATCTTTACAAAACAACAACAACAACAACTTATTTACCTTTTGCTTTTATATCATCTACATTTACCACTATTACCTACACCTACCCCTTCCAGAGATCTGGCATGGACATACTTTGTAATAAAGAAGAAAAGAGATGGTTCATTGAAACTAACCAAGATGTCAAAAAAGTCTGATGCTACAGAGTAAAGAAGTAGTCTAGGATGGCTGCTTTAGGGACAAAAACTACTTTTGAGCTGTTTCCTTAAGTGACAGTGAGGGGGCAGTCCTAGTGTGGGCAGTAAAAGGCTTGTAAATCAGCCCTGAAGTGAAGGCAGCAATGTACAGAGATGCTAGACCAGAGGGAGCCTTCTAGGGAATCATCAGGGACCATGGCCTGAAGTCTGAGGAGAACAGCATCACTGATACTTTTTGTTGTTACATCGTAACTATTTATGAAATCCATTTCTACCAACGTTCCTATTTATTTTTTATTTTTTTCTTTAATATAAATTTATTTATTTTAGTTTTCAACATTTACTTCCACAAGATTTTGAGTTCCAAATTTTCACCCCATCTCACCCCTTCCCCCACCCCAAGATGGCATGCATTGTGAATATCCCTTCTCTTAATCTACCCTCTCTTCTATCTCTCCCCCTCCCTTCTCTTATCCCCTTCCCCTTCTGTTTTCCTGTAGGGCAGGATAGACTTCTGTACCCCATTTCCTATATTTCTTATTTCCCAGTTGCATGTGAAAACACTTTTTTTTAAAACTTGTTTTTAAAACTTTGGGTTCCAAATTTTCTCCCTTCCTCCCTCCCCACCCACCCTCATTGAAAAGGCAAGCAACTCAATATAGGTTATACATGTGCAGCTATGCAAAACACTTCCATAGTAGACGTGTTGTGAAAAACTCTATTTCCCTTAATCCTATCCTGCCCCCCCCATTTATTCTATTTTCTCTTTTGACCCTGTCCCTTCTCAGAAGTATTTGCTTCTGATTATCCCGTTTCCCAATCTGCCCTCCTCTCTATCATCCCCTTGCTCTCTTGTCCCTTTCCCCCCCTATTTTCCTGTGGGGTAAGACAGATTTCTATTCTCAATTGAATGTGTGTGAAACAAAGATTTTGAAAGAAGAGCAGTGGGGGTCGAGAGAGGCAGTTTTTTGCAAAACCTACCAATGAACACCCATGTCCCCTTCTCCCACTGGCCCCCCCCTTGCCACCCACCCCCAACTTCTGAGAAGAAGGGGAGATGTGTTTCCTGAACTCTGCTGGGTCCCAGTTTGGTCATTTATGGTGTTCAGTTTTGTTTTCTTGTTTTTGTTCACGTTGTCATCGTGCATATTATTTTCCTGGTTCTATTTACTTCAGTGCATCAGTTCAGATAAATCTTCCCATGCTTTGTGTTGTGTAATACCCTTACTATTCTAGTACACTTATGTACCTCAGTCTGTCCATTTCTCAATCTTTGGGTATTTTATCCCCATTTTTTGCCACCACAAAAGGGCTGCATTGTCTGTCTATACATATATACATATATATGTATACATGTATGCAGAGAGAGAGAGAGAGAGAGAGTGCCTCTCTTTTTGACTAAACATATATATCTTCTCTTTTTGACTCTTTGGGGTATAAGCATAAGGTGAAAGGGTATGGATACATCAACTCAAAAAGCTTAATTCTAAGTTTTCCAGAATGATATTTTCCTTCAACATCAACTAGTCCCTTCTTTTGTCATATTTGTTAAAATTAAAACACCTCAGACTTGTTTTGATTTGCAGTTCTCTTATGATTAGTGATTTGGAGCAATTTTCCCAAGGATTTTTGTTCTGGTTTGGTTAGTCTGTAGGCCCATCTGAAGTGAGGTGGGGACGTGCATGCCTCTTTAACGGTGTCTTTTCTGTCTTCCTTACTCTTTACCTCGTGACAGCTACACAAATGCTTCCGGTTACATGTAGAGAGCCTAAAGAAGCTAGGCCAGCCAGCCCAGGGCTGCAAGATGGTGGCTCTGTGGCTGACGGCCCTGCAGCCCTGCACCATGGAGCAAATGGTGGAGCCCATCAGCTTCTGGGTCCGTGTCAAGATGGACGCTGCCAAGGCTGGTGAAAAGGAACTGCAGCTGAAGTGAGTAGGAATGAGAATAAGAAGAAACCATCTCTGGGGTGTTTTTGTCCTCACTGTGCCTATGAAAGATTAACTCATGCCTGTGGCTGTGGCCCCCAATTCGAAATGAAAAAGGATGCTGGTTCCCTCTGGTGAGGGAGGTGAGGGGGAGGCTGGTCCTAATGACTTCTCCCCCTACAGGACCCTGCGGGACAGCCTTCCTGGTTGGAGCCCAGAGATCCTGACGTGCATGCTGGTAAAAGAGCTACGAGGATATAAGGCCGTTCGGGCCGACACCGGACAAGAGCGCTTCAATGTTATTTGTGACTTGCTGGAGCTGAGCGCAGAAGAGACGCCAGCTGGGGCCTGGGCACGGGCTACCTACTTGGTAGAGCTTGCTCAAGTACTGTGCTACTATAACTTTGCCCAGCAAGCCGACTGGTGAGGTTAAAGGATCAGGATGGGGGTTCTTGGGGGAAGGACTGGCCGTTATTACGTGCCTTTTGGCTCTTCTGTGTCCCCAAAGAATCAGGGCCTGGGCCCTATTTAATCTGTGCCCTGTTTGGCTCCCTTAGAGTGGTGCCATGGTCCCAATAACATCTCACTTCCCTGTCTTTACAAACAGCTCAGCTTTGGATGCTGTGCAGGAGGCCCTGAAGCTGCTGGAGTCTGTACAGCCCGAGTGCCAGGCTACAGACCAGTTTTTGGATGATAAAGCCCAGGCTTTGCTGTGGCTCTACATCTGTATGCTGGAGGCCAAAATGCAGAGAGTGAGTAGGTCTGGTCCTGGGTCTAGTAGAGAAGGGCTGCTTCCCTCACTCCTTAGACCAGGCCCAGATCAGACGCTGTCTTTCTATCCCTCAGGGCATCGAGCAAGACTTGAGGACAAAGTTGCAGCCCAACTTGATAGAACTAGAAAGCAATGACCTGAACTATGACGATAAAATGCAGGATGACCATTTTCTTTACAGTAGCATTGCCTTCAATCTGGCTGTGGATACTGGTGAGAGCGTTAGGAGCATGGGAAGCTGGGGGGGAGCACAGTGCTTTTTTAGGGAGCCAAAGTCTTGCTGGCTAAAGTTCAGGGTGAGATGGGATCACTTAATTACATCTTAAGAGTAGACACAGCTGCGGTGGGAGTAAGGCTGGCATGCATGGGGAAAGGTGGTTATTTTTTTATAGGTTTTTCTCTCCTTACAATCCACGTCTGTCATGTTTTGAGGCTGGCCTTAATGTCTTTTCCTCTGACTTTCAGCTTCTTCTAAGTGCTTAGATCAGGCACTGGCGCTTTGGAAGGAGATGCTAACTAAAGGACAGGTGCCCACCGTGAGATGTCTACAGCAGACCGCTGCCTCCCTCCAGATCCTGGCTTCCCTCTGTCAGCTGCTGGCCAAGGTAATGAAGTGGAGGGGATTTGTGATACTCTGTAATCTTTGCAGAGCATTGTTTACAGCACCTACCACAAGGGGCCTGGCATGCAATAAGCGTTTGATAAATAATTGTTTTGAATGAATACCTCTGGCGTGAAGGAACTTGTATGGCTCTTTTGGATGTGGCTTCCCAGGCAACCTAGGATCAAACGTAGAATGTCAGAGAGACTTGTGGTCTCTTTGATTTTCTCACATTCCAGATTATTTTCTGATTTGGGACTTCCATTAGAAATCCTGAGAACTACAATGTTTGGTGTTGTATTTCTTAGTACTTCTTTGTTGTTGGGTTAGGGCTCAGAGAATTGCCTTTTGTGGAACAGAATCTTAGCCTGGCCCTGGGCCCAGGTGGTGGAATAAGACCATAAGGGGCTTTGGGGAACAGATTGGTGAAGATTAGGTAAGGAGTTTGGTACCTCTGGTATTCTTGGTTGAACCATTCCTGGGTGTTTAGCCACTACAGGCTCTCGAGACATACTCGTTGCTACGTACACTCTCAGAAAATCTTAAGGACTACATTAAAGCAGCCAGTGCCTCCTGCCATATCACCCGTATCCTTCTGACATTAGACTGTCCCAGCTATGCCCAGGTGAGTAATGGGCCAGCCTTGCCTGGGGCCCATGGAAGAGAATGATTCTAAAGCTTTATATCTCTTTTTATTTATTTATTTAGTTTTCGATCTTTACTTCCATAAGCTTTTGAGTTTGAAATTTTCTCCCCTTCCTTCCCCTCCCCAAGATGGTATGCAATCTGATATAGGCTCTACATATACATTCATTTTAACATATTTTCACATTAGTCATGTTGTAAAGAAGAAATAGGACCAATGGGAGGAACCACAAGAAAGAAGAAACAAAACAACAACAAAAAAAGTAAAAATAGTATGCTTCCATCTGCATTAATAATCCATAGTTCTTTCTCTGGATGTGGATAGCATTTTCCAGCATGAGATCCTTGGCATTGCTGAGAAGAGCCAAGCCTATCAAAGTCAGTCATGGCACAGTGTGGCTGTACTGTGTACAACATTTTCCTGGTTTTGCTCACTTCACTCAGCATCAGATCATATAAGTCCTTCTAGGTTTTTTTTTTAGTCTGCCTGCTCATCATTTTTTATAGCACAACAGTACAACTTGTTCAGCCATTCCCCAGTTGATGGGTATCCCCTCAATTTCCAATTCTTTGCCACCACAAAAAGAGCTGCTATAAATATTTTTATGTTCGCTTTGGGATACAGACCTAGAAGTGGTATTGTAAAGCTTTATGTCTCTTTCCAGATAGATAATGCAACAGGGCTTATCTACCTCCCTATAGATCTTTTTCTTACCCGTCATGATACTCAGCAGAGACAGACTATTAAGGAGTTTGCAAAATGGGTAGAAGCAGTGGGAAGACAAGTCTTTTAAAATTGTACTTTTTTAAAACTTGTGACCTATAACCTTTTAACTGGATTATGTCTATACTTGGTGTTTATAGATGCTTTAATGAGTGATGTTTGACTTAATAAATAATATTTTAGCTTAGCCATTTGTTGCTTTTCCTTGTACAACCAACCAATTCCCATATTGTGCCTATAGCTATATTTGAAGGAGGCAGAGTCCAGTCTGCAGCTCAGTGATCACAATAGTGATGGATACCTGCTCCTCACTCAAACCTGTGCCTTACTTCAAAGTCAACTTTACTGCATCCATAAGAAGGTACCTGATCATTTCTCTTTTTGGTAAAGGAGTGTTTAGACTTGTCTGGATTGTAAGGATTTCCTGTGTGGGGATGGAGAGATAAGGGAGAGGGATGACTAACTTGGAAGGGATGGGTCGAGCCTTTTCTCCTTGAAGCGGTAAGGTTACCAAAGACCACTTGGACTTAGCTATGAGAAGACATGGGCTCTAAGTACTGGTTCTACCAGCCATATGACCCAGTCACTTATCTCTCAGCCTCCATTTCTTAGAAGGCCACATCCCCTCTGAGAGGATGGAAGTGGGAATAGTACTGGCTGTTTCCTGGTGGCAATTCTCCCCAGTGTTTGTGAATGTGTTTTTTCTGTACTACCCTTACCCAGGTAGCTCAAGGCCTCTCTTTGCTGCTGTCTGTGTTGCGGGATTCGGCCCTTCAAAAACCTTCTAAGGCCTGGTACTTGCTTCGGGTCCAGGCCTTGCAGTTGGTGGCTGTCTACCTTAGTCTCCCCTCTAGCAGTCTTTCTATCCAGCAGTGGGAGCAACTTTATACTCAAGGTACACATATGTGTGAGGGAAAGAGAGCACGGGCACTCCCATGCACCAGAGGCTCTTTGGGGAAATTCTTTCCATGAATAGTTCAAGGGAAGCTGTTTATTAAGTGGCCAGTTCCCAAACCACCAAGCCTATCTCTGGCTCATCTTAGTTCTATTCTCTGATTTAGATCTATGAGTGTGGAACGCTCTAGGATCTATTCTCCATAGCTAAAAGCAGCCACCCTTCCTGTATTCCCTAGAAATGCTAATGAGATTTTTTACTTATTCTGAACTTGGAGAAGTTTTGTCCATAATCTTTTTCCTTTTCTCCCTCCTTCCCCCCTTTCCCCTTTCTATACCCAGGCTGGCAGACCTCTGAGATAGCACTCCTTGAATCCCACAAGCTCCTCCGAAGCATTATCCTCCTTCTGGTGGGCAGAGATCTGCTCTCTGTTCAGTGGGCTACTGGGGAGACTGTCTTTCATGACTATGGTAGGTGCTGTCCTTCTTTCTCAGACTTGTCCAGTGGATTCAGGGGGAGGATGTCCCTCGGAAGTTCAGAATACAGGGACTAGATCAAGGACATGCCTGTTTTTGTCTTAGGGGGCATCTAACCTATAGCTGGGATATGTCAGTGTCTTCCTGCCCTTGGTATAGGTGAGAACGTAATACAGAAGTGGCAAGTTCTTGCAGAGGTTCTGGGCTGCTCAGAGAAGCTGATAACCTTGTTGGGGCGCCTGGGCACTGTCAGTGAAGCCAAGGCCTTCTGCCTGGAGGCTTTGAGGCTCACGCTGAAGGTGCAGTGTCTACGCCAGTGAGTACAGGGGAGGCAGGTGGTCGGGAGAGGGAAGGGGAGGGAAGGAAGGCGCTGATTCCTAAGTATTCCTTAGAAATGGATATGTTGGCACTTGGGACATTTTTCTAGAGCTAGGTTCCAAATGTCTAATCCTGTATACTACCTAATGCCCGCAATGTAGATTTCACTTTCTTCATTTCTGAGCTACATTTTCTCTAAGGCATTGGTGGGGAGGAATTTGGAAGAAGAGAGGTTTCTCAGGGGATGTTCAATCCAACCATCCTGCCTAGCTCTTGTGAGCCTGTGAGCTCTTTTGTAAAACTGGCAACAAGCTATGGATGCCATAGGAGAGGGCCAATGGGAATCACAGGGAAAAAAGAGAAAGGGTAAGCCTACTGATGGCTTTTTTTTCCTTCTACCTCTCCCCTCCAAAAAACCCCCAAAGGTGTGCCCTGTTCCTGGTGTTAAAGGGAGAACTAGAACTAGCCCGAAATGATCTTGACCTCTGCCGTGCCGATCTTGAGCAGGTGCTATTCCTGCTTCAGTCTGGGACAGGTGAGTGACCGGCGACCTTACGCTGCAGAGAGTAGTGAGGATTAAAACGGGTGGAGTAGCACAGACGAGGTCTTTTCTGAGCAGAAGATTTATCCCTTCTTTATATTGCGGAAAGAATTGAGATTTAGAAATAAGGAACAACTTTATTACTGTAGTAGTTAAATACAGGAGTAGGAGACTTAGGGAAAAAGAAGAATACCCCCAGAGGGCTTAAACTTCAGAGATGATATCTGGGTTGATTTGGTACAATTTTGGGGTAGAAGGGTGACCTTTCAAGATAATCCTCCTGCCCAGTGATTCAATGATTTCATGTTTCATGGAATTATCTAGTCCAGCCTCTACCTGACTTTGCTTCTGATCTCTCCAGAGTTTGAAGGGATAGCCCAGCTGCCAGATGATGTGAAAAAGATCCATCCCCAGAAAGGACCACAACAGACTCGAGCAGCACCCTGTTCCGAGCTCCCTGAAGAAGAGCCTTTCCTGAAGGGCCCTGCTCTGCAGCTGGTGGCCACTGTGGATAAGGATCCTGGCCCTTCAGTGTCCTCTCCTGTTCTGAAAACCAAACCTCAGCCATGCCCTGCCTTCCTTTCCCACTTACCTGCCTGCAACTGTATCCTCTGTACTGATCCTGCTCTTTTAGCTGTCTGCCTCCGGTGGGTGCTAGCCTCTGCTGGGGCAGAACTCTCCTCAGGCCATCACGCAAAGGGCCTAGACTTGCTACAGTCTGTGCTCAGGAGATGCCCAGGGGCCACAGACCGTCTAGCACAGATTTTGCAGGCTACTCTGAGTCAGGAAGCCCCACCCTCACCTGCCCCACGATTCCTAGAGGAACTCATTGCTCAGGCTTACACTCAGTTGGCCCTGGAAGGTATGAACCATCCGCCGGACAAGGGCCTTTGGAGGATCTTAGAGACTGGGCTGACTTTTGTTGCTTCTAGGACTCCCCACCTGAACCCCTGGCATGCCAGCCTCCTTGTGGCAAAGGCCCTGGCATTGCTATCTAGTCTCAGCTGTTGTACCACTCAGCTCTTTGGGAAAGCCTGGACCTGGCAGCCTTCAGTGGTGAAGTTATCCCAGACTCCAAAGTCTTCCAAAAGTCAGAGCCAAAAGCTTACAGAAGAAAAAGGCGAGCAGATAGCCTCTGATGACCTGTCTCTCCATAATACCTCCCTAGAAGATCGGGATGAGAGGCCTTCCACTGCACTACGGCCGACGGGGAGACCTTGTACCCCAAAGCAGCCCGGGCAAGCTGGACCCCATGCACCTTTCACCGTGTTTGATGAGGAACTTTCTACAAAGAGCAAAAATGATTTAGCCAAAGCACCCAGGGTGAGGTGCAGAGCCCAGACTCGTCTCAAGGTAAAGTAGAAGAACTAGATTAAGGTTTGGAAGTTAATTATTAGTTGAGTGCTTATTGTGTGCAAGGTACATCATAAAACACAGTTACTAATCTTAAGGAACTTAAAATTTGCCGTGAGTGTTCCGGATAGGAAATTCTCCTGGTGTTAACTATGTTGCCGTCTTTGGGCTTTCCTTTCCCTTTTTATTGTTGTTATTATTGTTCACTTGTTGTCAATTGTGTCCAACTCTTTGTGACCCCATTTGCGGTTTTCTTTTTTTTTTTAAACTGATTTATTTTTAGTTTTCAATAATCACTTCCATAAGCTTTTGAGTTTTAAATTTTCTCCCCCTCCTTCCCTGCCTCGCTCCCCAAGACGGCATAGAGTCTGATATAGGCTCTACATATACGTTCCTATTCAACGTATTTTCACATTAGTCATGTTTTAAAGAATAATTAGAACCAATAGGAGGAACCACAAGAAAGAAGAAACAAAATTTAAAAAAAGAGCAAATAGTATGTTTCAATCTGCATTCAAACTCCATAGTTCTTTCTCTGGATGTGGATAGCATTTTCCATCATGAGACTTTTGGAGATGTCTTAGATCCTTGCATTGCTGAGAAGAGCTAAGTCTATCAATGTTAGTCATCGCACAACATGGCTGTTACTGTGTACAACATTCTCCTTGTTCTGCTCATTTCACTCCATTTGAGGTTTTCTTGGCAAAGATACTGGAGTGGTTTGTCATTTCCTTCTCAGCTCATTTTACAGATGAGAAAACTGAGGCAAACAGGGTTCAGTGACTTGTGCAGGGTCACACAGCTAGCAAGCATCTGAGGCCAGATTTGAACTCAGGAAAATTAATCTTCTTGACTCCAGGCCCAGCCCTCTCTCCACTGTGCCACCTAGCTGCCCTTCCTTTCTCTACCAAAAGTAAATGTCCCTTGAAGGCTTTTGGGACCACTGAACACAGAGCAGGTAGCCATGTGTATGGAGGAGCAATCATGGAGTTCTTAAGTTTTACAGATGTCCATTACAGCCCTTGTTACTCCATAACTCCATAATATACTGCGCAGGCTTCTTGATATTTTTCTGTCTTTCCTATTTTCTCCATCTGTAGGTGAACTTTAGTGATGATGAAGACTATGTTCCCCCTGAGAGACTGGCTGAAAAGCCCAAGAGAAGAGGAGCTAACTCTCGAGGCAGGGGCCGGGGTGGCAGGGCCTCGAGATTAAAGACGGATACTGAAGATGTGCCAGGTGGCTCCAAGGATCAGTTTACATCTGGCAGCCGAACCCGCCATAGCAAGAAGGAAGTGGTAGAGGAACACATCCCTCAGAGAGCCCTTCGACGTCAGACAAGGTTGGACGTGGAGCTCATGCGGACCATTCCTGAAGAACACATGACGAATAAGCTGGATGTGAGCTTTGAGATTCTCCACAATTCTGAGGAGGAAGGTATGGCCTCAGGTGTGATGGAGGGAGCCCTACACTACAGAGGGATTTTTTTGTAAAGTACAGGGAAAGTCCAAAGCTTATGGTTCTCATAATATAACTGAAAGAGTGCTAGTTTGGGGTAGTAGGGGAGAAAAATGAGGTCACTGTGCCAAGACCAGGAGTGAGATATTACAGGACTCTCTCTCCAACTAGGCCGGCAAAAATTGATGCCAGCATGGCATGATACAACCATGGGAGAGTGTGAAGTGGTAAGACGAGATGCTGACAAGGATGTTCCACCTTTCCTGGCTCCAGAGAAGAGAGAAAGCAATAAATACCATGGCATGCGTTCCAGGCTGGCCTCTGCCCCTGCAGCCTTTGGTAAGTGAAAGAGCCCTGAGGGTCTTTGGTACCTGAGGGGTGAAAGGTCTGGGTCCGGATGTCTTGTAGCCCTTCACGACGCTTCTGCCATCGAAGTTTCCAGATAAGTTTTTTTAAAAGCCTCATGTAGAATGAGAACCCGTGAAGGCAGACAAGATGGATAGTTTATATCTTCACGTTCCCTTTCCAGACTCAATATAAGGGCTTAAGTGCAGAAGAAAAGGGGCTTAGGTCAGTCCAAAAGTGGGGAATTCACCAATAGAAAGTGATTTGCCCCCATCCTAGGCCTCTCTACCCTTGACTCCGTCTATGACTCCCTAAGCATTGCCTTCCGCTGTGTCAGCCACTGCCCCCCAAGCGGGCTCTACGCTCAGTTGTGCCGTCTCCTGGCTTTGTGCCTGGGTCACCGTGATCCCCATGCCACTGCCTTTTTTGTCACCGAATCTGTTTCCATCACCCCTCGACGCCAGTTGCTCACCACCCTTCACCGGCAACTCCAGTAAGTAACACTGTCTTCACCCTTTCTGGGCTCTTCTTGCTGATCCCATTTGGCTTCCCCTGGGACTAGGATTTGGGAAGTGTGGGTCTGACATTGGCCACTCTCTTTGAGGGAAGTGAAGCTGGGTGCTGGTTAACCTCCTTTCCTCCCGCCTTTCTTCCTGGCCTGTGTCGTTCCCAGCAAAGCACAGAAGCAGCAAATACGAGATGTGACTGAGCGGCTGCAGGGGCTGAATCTACAGGAAGAGTCCAAAGGTGTCCCCTTCACCCGCCTCCAGCACCTCTTTTCATTCAGGACTCTAAGGCCTGGCTGCTTCCCTCAGCCCGAGAAGAAGAGTTTCCAGGAGCTTCTGGCTCAGATTCCTAGTGGTATGGTTGGAATAGAGCTCTTCTCTTTTGTCCCTTACTGCGTTACTGAGAAGCTAGAGTCTGAGGCACTGGCCACTATCGGGGACTCTTTTTGTGAGAGGTAAAAGTTGGTGACCATAGCAGCCAGCTAGGGCCAGGAATAAGGAGGTTTCTTTCAGGGCCACTGAGAAGACTGAGAGCATTTTCTCCATTCCCCTGCCCTCAGGAAGGATGCAACGTCATCTTATGTGTATGTCTTGATTTTAAGTTTCCTTGGAAAAGAGATTCTAATGACTAATGGAATTGTGTGCGATTATTTCCCTTGGTTTGCCATTCTGTACCCTACAGCCAAATATATACAACTTATGGCTAGGAAATCCTTTCCTAAGTATTTTAGCCATACTAGAAACTTGAGGTAATTAATCTAGCTGACTTGAGTGTTCTAGATCCCATACTGTGAAGTATGTGATTGAATAGTCAGATCATATCAATAACAAAATTAACAGAAATCATGATTTCAATAGATGCAGAAAAAGCTTTTGACAAAATACAGCACGCATTCCTATTAAAAACCCTAGAGAGGGACAGCTAGGTGGTGCAGTGGATAGAGCACCGGCCCCGGAGTCAGGAGGACCTGAGTTGAAATCTGGCGTCAGACGCTTGACACTTACTACCTATGTGACCCTGGGCAAGTCACTTAACCCCACTGCCTAGCAAAAACCAAACAAACAAACAAACAAACAAAACCACTGAGAACATAGGAATAAATAGAGTTTTCCTTAAAATAAGTAGCATCTATCTAAAACCATGAACAAGCATTATATGTAATGGGTATAAGCTGGAAGCTTTGCCAGTAAGATCAGGGGTGAAACAAGGACGTCCATTACCACCACTGTTATTCAATATTGTATTAGAAATGTTAGCTTTAGCAATAAGTAAAGAAAAAGGCAATGAAGAAACAAAGCTATCACTCCTTGCAGATGATATGATGAATCCTAGGGAATCAAATGAAAAATTGAAAATAATTGAAATAATTAACTTTAGCAAAGTTGCAAGATATAAAATAAACACACATAAATCATCAGCATTTCCATATATTACTAATAAAGCCCAGCAGCAAGAGATAGAAAGAGAAATCCATTTAAAATAACTGTAGACAGTATAAAATATTTGGGAGTCCACCTGCCAAGACAAACCCAGGAACTATATGAACATAATTACAAAACGCTTTTGACACAAATAAAGTCAGATCTAAATAATGGGGAAAATATCAGTTGTTCATGGGTAAGACAAGCTAATATGATAAAAATGACAATTATACCTAAATTATTTACTTATTCAATACCATACCAATCAAACTACTAAAAAAAAATTTTAGAGCTGAAAAAAATAACAAAATTCATTTGGAAGTTTAGTCAATCAATCAGCCAATATTTATTAAATGCTTACTATGTGCCAGGTACTGCGAGGCATGGGAGTTACAAACACAAAGAAAGAAACCATTTCTACTCACAAAGAGTTTATAGTCTAAGAGGAGTCAGATACATAAATACAAAGATAACATACATCACAAATCGGAGGTAAATAAATAAAAATCTATACCAAGTAGTTAAGTACAAGGTGGTTTGAGAAGGGGGCAGGAGCAGTTAGGGAAATCCAGAAAGGCAGCATGCAGAAGACAGTGCTTTAGAAGGAAGAGAGACGCTATGAGGCAGAGAAAAGGAGAGTGCACTTAGGACTTTAGACAGCCACTGCGAAGGCATGGAAAGAAGATGGAGCATCGTGTATGAACATCGGGGAGAATGCCAGTTGGACTGTCACTGACAGCAGTGTCCGAGGAGGCTAGGGCCGGATTGTTGAGTGCTGTCGAAGCCAGACGGCAGGAAGCCCTTGGAGCTAGCTGATTAAGGAAGTGACAACGAAAATAAGAAACTGCTAGAACAGTCTAGGGGAGAAGTGATGAGGGCCAGAACTGAAGCTGTAGTTGTGTGAATAGACAGAACGGGTCTATGGCAAGAGATGTTTTGGAGGTGGAACAGCAAGATTTGGTGATTGATTGGCCACATGGGATGAGGTTGTTGAAGATAGCACTGAAGGAGCCAACCAAGGAGACTGTAAGGATAAGGTGCCTTCGGAAGAAACTGGGAAGTTTGAATGAGGGTAGGGTTTAGGCGGCAGGGTAATGGGTTCAGTGTCAGACATGTTGAATTTAAGCTGTCTCTGAGACAACCTGTTTGAAATGTATAGTGATGTGGGCCAGAAGCTCAGAGGAGAGATTGGCACTAGCCAGTCCATGATCAGCCATCATCAGCATAAAGATGATGGGTAAATCTCTGGGAGCTGATGAGGTTACCAAGGGAGAGTACAAAATCAAAGAGGCTAGGACAAAACTTTGGGGACCACCCATAGTTAGGGTCCATGATATGGATGATGAACCAGCAAGGAGACTGAGAAGGGAATGGTCACATAGGTAGAGGCAAACCAGGACAGGTGAATGGTGTGAAAACCCAGAGAACAAAGAATATCCAGGAGAAGGGGGTGGTCACAGGGCACATGCAGCAGACAAGTTGAGGAGGAGGAAGACTGAGAAAAGACCGTAAGATTTGTCCGTTGTAAGAGATCACCGGTAACTTTAAAGAGAACAGCTTCAGTGGAATGATGAGGTTAGAAGCTGGATTTCAAAGAGCTGGGAGGGAAGTGGAGGCAGAGAACATAGCAAGCTTTTTCAAGTAGTTTGGCTAAGAAAGAGAGAGTAGGTATAGGATGATAGTTTGAGGGGATGACAGGGGCTGTGGAAGGACTTTTCAATGATAAAGGAGGTGTAGGTGTATGTGAATGCATTAGGGAAGGAACCAGTACATTATGAGAGAGAGAGAGAGAGAAATGACTGAGCAGACAAGTTATTGGAGAAGATGAGAAGTAACTTGTAGAGGGATTGACCTAAGTGAGAAGAGCCACTTCTTTGTCAGAGACTGCAGGAACGGGGGAAAGAGTTGGGAAATGATCTTTTGAGAGATGGAAGAGAAGTGGAGGGAAGGAATGCTGGGTGTTTCACTGAAGCTGAAGAGATAGAGTGAGAATAAAAGGTCTAGGATGAAGGAGTTTGTCCACTGGGGAACAGTGTTCAGTGGAAAGCGTGAACAGAGTTGGAGTATGACCTGGGTGTCATAGGGCTGAAGAGAATGGTGATGAGAAAACAGGAGGGGGCTGCAGATCATTTTCTCCCAAGTGACTGATTAGTACAGGGATAGGGAGAGAACCAGGAGAAGCCATAACGTTAACTTGAAGGGCACTGTTGCAGAGGGAGCTTGGTTGGGACTGGGCCTGCTCCTCTTAGGTGGGTGGTGGTCCCTGGCTGGCAGAGGTGAGCCATGTCTGGGTCTGGGTTTGGCTCAGCCTGCTATATACTACTGCTCCCGCTCCTCCCCTCAGTGTGTGAATATATACTTGATTCAAGGTGTGAATCCGCCATATGCTGTGAGGGGTGAACTGCAGAAGGCATTTTTTGTCATTGAGGAGTTTATTGTCAGACTGGGGAGATGATACTTTCTTCACGTAAAAGATGACTTATTAGCTTCCTTCTCTTGGCTGTACCACTTAACCATAAGCTGTATAGAAGTTCAGAGTCAGGGAAGTTGCTGTAATTTAGGAAAGTTAGGCAAACCTTTATGAAGAAGAGGAAACTTAAGCTGGGTCATAAATAGAAAGCAGAGGGAATTCCCTTCTAGTCACTTAAATTGCATGTGTTTGTTTTTGTCTTAGGGGTGACTGTGTGTGTACTGGCCTCCATCAGTCTCCAGTCTGGAACTATCGGAGATACATTACTGTTGACACGTTTGGAAAAGAATACTTCCCCTGTCACCATCCAGATACCCACCACCCAAACTAAGGTAGATGCCAGGGCTGACAGTGGAGCTTATGGCTAGAGAGTGTTTGCCATTGTTCATTTGGGGGTAGAGGAGGGGGATGAAGGTGGAGAGGGGGGCAATGGGAGATGTTATTATTTTGTCTTTAAAAGCTGCCTCTGAGTTCAGCCTTGGGAGAGTTTGAAGCGATCCAGAAGGAACAGAAAGAGAACAGCAACTGTACAGAGAAGACCAAGTGGTGGACGACTCGGCTGAAACTGGATCGAAGGATGGAGGTACTTGGCCAGGAGCAAGAGAAAGACCCCATCACCCTTCTCCCTGATGCAGGGCTCTGCCTAGAGTATTTCAGTCTTCTTCTCTTTATGCATCCTTTCTTTTTCTTTTTTAGGCAATTAGGGTTAAGTGCCTTGCCCAGGGTCACACAGCTAGTACGTGGCAAGTGTTTGGTCTGAGGCTGGATTTGAACTCAGGTCCTCCTGACTTCAGGGCTGGTGCTTATCCACTGCGCCACCTAGCTGCCCCACTTATATGTCCTTTTCAACCAAAGTGTATGTTCCACAGCTTAAGTCTCTTGTTGCAGGAGGCAGCAATAATACAGGAGAAACAGCATTGGGCTTGAATTTCAGCCCCAGCGTGTGCCTGTGTGACCATGGGCAAATCAGTGAACCTCTCAGCCTCAGCTTCTTCCCAGAGCTAACAATACTCACACTGTCTCCCTAATAGGGTAGTGCTATAGCACTGTTTGAAACAGATTCTATTAATATCTTGTTTTATATGCTTGTATTTCCTCTTGGTATTCCCTTTCCCCTTTACTGAGAGCCATTCCCTAAGACAAAGACTTTTTTTTTCCTTTTTAAGAAGAATAAGAGGGGCAAAACTGATTAACATTGGAAAAAAATTAACATTCTATGTAATGTTGACCCATGCGCAGCCTTATGCAAAAGAGTGAGGGCCAGGGAAAGTATCTTCCCATTGCTCTTCTTTGGGGCCAAATTTATTCTTTATAATTTCACAACATAAGTTTTCTGTTGTTTTGTGATAGTTGTTGCTTCCATTATTGTAATCACTGCATATGTCGGTGTTCCTGGCTCTGCTTATTTTGCTTTTCATCAGTTCATGTTGATCTTCCCATGCTTCTCTGGATTTTCCACATTTGTCATTTTTTTACAGCACAGTAATATCCCATTATATTCATGTACCACAATTTCTTTATCCATTTCCCAATCAGTGAGCACCTACTTTTCATTTCTGTGCTTCTCTAAAAAGTGCTGCTATAAATATTTTGGTATATAGGAGGTCTTTTTTTTTTCAAGGACTTCTTTGAAAATCAATAAATTGTTAATAATACCAGACTGCTTGCATTTACCAAGCAACCCTGTATTCAATATTCATACTATTCTTTTTTTATTTTCCCTCAGCTCCTATAAAGCTTCTCCTGGCAATAAAAAAGGAAAAAAATTTTTCTCATCTGCTGCAATTAGTAGAGAGGAAATGTGGGTCAAGTATCACCAAAACGTTCCCAAGGTTCTATCTGTGCAGTATAATTTATTACTCTTGTCCCCCCCACCCCACCCCCATTTAGGTCCTCATCACTTCCCTGGAGAAACATGTACTAGGCTGTTGGAAGGTGATGCTGGTACCATCCACTGGGAGTCTAAGCCTGACCCAGGAGGCCTCCTCCTTAAAGGACTCACTAGGGAAATGTGGCTGGAAGTCTCCTGACTCAGCCTTGCTGCAGGTGAGTTAAGAAGAAAGGGGTTCGGTAAAAATCAAGTAGGGGAGAGGAATCGACCTATCCAGAGGTCAGTCCAATATTTCCTTAAGTGAAATAACTGACTTTTCCCTACAGGTGGTTCTGGGTGCTGCCCATACCCTTTCCCCTGAGGACATTCAGGCTTTAGCCCATGGTCTATGCCAGGCGCAGCCAGAGAGAGCCAGCAAGCTACTACAGGAGGCTGTTGAACGTCAGCAAGGCCAGACCAGGCAGAGCAATGGGCACCTGGTACTGGTGTTAGATAAGGTGAGGGCTAAGGATACCAATAGACTTGCTGACTTCAATCTGTGAGGCTGTATTCTTATATGAGGGTTCTTCCCTGCCAGCAAGGTCCCAATCGGAATAGTAACTTATGTTTTCTTCTCCTCAGGACCTGCAGAAGCTGCCCTGGGAGAACATTCCTAGTCTTCGGACACAGCCTGTCACTCGGCTGCCCTCACTCCGATTCCTGCTCAGCTACTCAATTATCAGAGAGGTGGGAGCAGAGGCTGATTTGGGTGGAGACCTGAAGCAGGGAGGGGCTGTGTGGCTGGGGAAAAATGAGAAAGGACCTGAAGCTTGAGGATGAGAGGACAACCAGGGTAAACGTAGAGAGGAGCTTAAGTATTTTCCGGAAGGTTTATCTTACCCAGACATTTGATTCTGTACTGTTTCTGAACATTAGTGGATAGAGCCGTGACTGCTGGGGATCTAGTAGGAGGCTTGAACTATCAAGGTTAGCAAGAAAAGCATCCCTTTAAGAACCTAAGTAGAGGGGCAGCTAGGTGGTGCAGTGGATAGAGCACCAGCCCTGAAGTCAGGAGGACCGGAGTTCAAATCCGGCCTCAGACACTTGACACTTACTAGCTGTGTGACCCTGGGCAAAGTCATTTAACCCCAATTGCCTGAAAAAAAAAAAAAGAACCTAAGGCAGTAGGGTTTCCAAACTCAGCTAAGAGCATCGAAAGGCCAGCAACATCCTCAGTCTTCAGTTTTTTCTCTCCGATCAGGTATCTTGCCACCTGACTCAGTTCTACTTCCTTGCCCAAGATTCAGGGCTTTCCTCTGCCTGTCCTGTTTTCAAGCCCCCTTGCCTATGCCTTGGATTTTCTTTCCTGTCTGCTTCTGTGGTCTTCATTTGTTTGATATTCCACGCTGTCCCACTCATCTGGGTCTGACTTGCACCTCCTCACTCCTCTAGTGCCCTTTCCACTGCATTCTCACTTAGACTCCCTACTACTTCTCTTCCATTACATAAGATCTCTTTATTAGACTCCCTGAATGACTGTCATTCATGAAACCTGAGCTCCTCTAATACCCCTTCCGGCTCCTTATTAATCCCTGTCAGTCCCAGATTCTCTCAAGATTTTGACAATTTCGTGCCAACCCAGCCTTGTGGTATGGAGGACCTCATGGCTTCTCTCCGTATAGTGCAGGTTGAAAACACATGATTTGGGCAGAGATAGTAAAAGTAATCTACAGAAAACAACTTCACCTGGAATCCTAGGTGCTGATCACTCAAATTAATGTGACGAGGATAGAACCTGTTAAAATCTGAAGATTGGATGTTGCAGGAATTGTTTGGTGGCCAACCTCTGCCAAGGTTTCAGTTGTCTGTTTGTATGCTGTACGGGCAGATCAGTATAGGAGAATATTAGAGAGTTCTGATTCTGCAGCGATTAACTAAATCTGCTTAGGGACTCTAACTTAGCGCCTGTAAAGAAGGGGGTCCTTTATGGAAAACCACAATGCATATGAAGTCTGGCTAATATAAATATGCTGTTGAGTGCTGGACTTGGCTTCTCTAATGCCCCCACTGTGTTCAGTTATGAACTGCTCACGAACAATGAGATGAGAAGGGATTATGGTGTACCCAGACAGAACCTTAAACTTGGAACCTGGACCTACATACTTACCTTGTCAGAAGCAAGACCAGTACTAGCTGGAAAAGTCCAAGTTCACTAGTAAAAAGTGGAGTTGGGGTATCTAACCCTAACCCTAATTGCACTGTATCTAAGCAGGGCCCACAAGATGACATTTGAACAGACTCCTTAACTCCCAAAAGAGTGAATGCCCCGGCTAGCCACTGGGGCCTCTAGCGCTAACTCAGACTGGTCTGCAAGACTTAATTCCTCCATTTCTCAGCCCTGACTTTCTCTCCCTTGGGCCTTTATAGGAATCCATCCCTTCCGCCTGAATCCAAGAACACAATTTACTTATCTAAATACCAGTTTACTTCTGCCCTGTCTTTTCCTGCCTAGATCACAACAGTCCCTTAGTGCAGCAGTCTGGATCACCTCCTGTCGGCTGAGCATTTGCAGATTTTTTTTAAACACCACAACCAAACATTGAGAAATGGGAATAACATCTGACCATCAAGGCCATGGTGGCACTCTAGAAGGTGCCAAGTAACATGCTCCAAAATTATTTAGACCAATCACTGAAGTCAGGCACACCTGCAGGTAGTTCATAAATTAAATTAGGCATTTATTTGGTGGTTTCCATGCTTTAAAATTAATATCTCCAGTTGCCAGAATCATATGGCCAGCATTGTCTCATAAACCAGAATTCTAAGAACTACCTACAGAGCAGATGATTGTGCCTTGAAAACTTGATAGCCGTTCAACCCTCCTTTAGAATTTGTCCCCCAAGATGTATGTGCTCAGCTTACGGCCCCCATGTTTGCATTTTCTTTATATACCCTCTAGGGTCAGGATTAGGTACAGTTTCACCTCCTAGACCTTGTGCTTCCCCCTCCAGTACTCCTTTGTTGGGGAGACCAGTTACAGCTGGTCATACTCGCATCAAAGCTTCTCTAGTAGTCCAGTATTGTTCATGGTTATTGCCATTGGGATAGGTCACTACAGCCTTCTTCATTGGGTTTGTGCCTTTGCCATGCTTCAAGCTAGAAAGCCCTGACAGCTGCAGTTCTTGCATGTGAGTTGTGAGTGACTCTGTCCTTGTCCTAGCAGATAACAATGACACACACTTTCCTCGATTCTGGCCCCTCCCATGGCCTCTGATCCACCTGTCATGTCTGCTGGGGGTATTTCCAGGCTACAGTCCTCCCACAAACCTCATCTCCTACTTCTGAAACCTGATGTTTACCCACCTTCGGACTGCCAGAACAAAGGCACCAGCCAGATACGAGGATAAAATTTGTGCTGCTATGTCTCTTGCCTCCCAGGACATTTGAGTTTATTTCCTCACTGAATTAGTTTGCCGTAACATTTAGCTATGTTCACTGTTCTACCCAGAATACTTCATTCTACTCCAAATACAATCCTTATCACCATTATTTCTTGGTTCCTATAGGAGTGTTAGAAGCAACCTAGGCTGCCTTTAAATCAAGTTTCCTTGAGTCAAGATTAACTTATAAACATGCCAGTTAATGTTCTAGGAAGTTCCTCCAGGTGGAGAGTCAAGTTCCGCCTCCATTCAGGGATAGGACTCCTGGAAACTGGAAGACAGCTAAACTGGAGCCCTTCTTAAAGTTCAGATCATTATGTCCAATCCAGTGACTACCTCCCTTGTTTCACCTCTACCCTGTTTGCTATCAACCCAGTCTGTTCAACGTTCCCCATCTTGTCCCCCCTCCCCCCCCAAAAAAGATGCTTTTTGAGAAGGAAGAAGACTTTATGGTCTGGGCCTGGCTCCCTTTGCTGCCCTAGCTCTCCCCAAGTGCAGAGGGTCAGAGATTTAACTTTGAGCTCTGGTTACTAGCTGTTTGACTATGGTATGATCACTTAAACAAGTCCCAGTGCTCAAAGTCCTGTGATGGGGCAGGTATGGGTCAGCAGGGAAGCATCCTTTTAAAGAATTCAAGGGCAGAGTCATGAGGGGCATGAAAGGTTGTGAAAAGGTCACAATCCTGGCCAGGTCTGAATTTGCCTCTGACCAGATGTACACCCATCTGCTTACCTTGATTCCAACTCCCAAGCCTTTAAACAGCTGTCTGTTTCCCCTAACCCTGGCACCCACAACTGTCTGCCTGTCCTAGTTTTAGACCCCTTTGCTTATTCCTGAGATTTCTCAGCCCTTGTTGACTTCACCATTTTGGTAATCCATTCTCTTCTACTCTTTCTGAATTTCTTCTCCATGTTCTACCCAGTCTACCCTGTGTGTTCCTTTTATCCCAGCTAAGAGTGTTTTCTTCATTGGCCGGCCCCAGTCAAGGCCTCTGCTGCCCTCTGCTGTCACAAATGACACCTAACACTTCTCTACAGCTTCTTGTTAAAGTACTGATCAGTTCGAGATCATTCTCATATTAGGACTTGATCCCATATATAAAATGGAGATCATATCTCTAGTATCTACCTAACAGGGTTGTGGCAAGGCAATAGAATAGTTCAGATCCCAATTCTGTCAGATTAGAGAATAATGAACATGTATCTTACTGATGCAGACCCAGGCTTCATCAGTGTTGAACAGGGGAGTGAATCCACAAAGTACCTTCTACATCTTGAACCCACAGAACAATCTGGAAAACACAGAGGAGCGATTCCGAGCCCGCTTCTGCAGGTGGGATGAGGAGAGAAAAAGGAATGTCTAAGGGTTCACTTAGAGACACCTAACTGGGGTGGGAGGGAGGAAAATGGGTTCTCTAATTTTACTTACCTCTTTAGTATTTCCTTTGTTTTTTTTCCCCTTTTTTTTTTCCATTGCACTTTGTATTTTGTTCCTTTCCACAGTGAGGCTGGCTGGAAAGGGCTCGTTGGTGAAGCCCCAAGCCAAGAACAGGTCCAAGCAGCCCTGACAGAGCATGATCTGTATATGTGAGTATCTGGGGTGGAAAGAGGGACAAGAATGGGGTCATCTGGGTCCTGTTGCCCTTTCTTGTGGGGACCTCTCAAAAGCTGAAGCTTCAGAACTCTTATTTACTAAGTAAAGTTACGCAGAAAGAATTGGTTGATGATGTAGGTTAATAAAATGGAAAGAAAGGGTAGTTTAAGAACGAGAAATTAAGTCATAGGTTCTAACTCATTCTGTCTCTGCATCAGTTATGCAGGGCATGGGGCTGGTGCCTCCTTCCTGGATGGGCAGGCAATTCAGCGGCTCAACTGCCGAGCAGTGGCCTTACTGTTTGGGTGTAGCAGTGCTGCCCTAGCTGTACAGGGGAATCTGGAAGGGGCTGGCATCGTTCTCAAGTACATCATTGCAGGCTGGTGAGTCCTGATTGGGAGGATCAGTCCTGGAGAAATAGAGAACTCCCCCTCTCACCCATCTTCTCCCCCCAAACTGGCTCACTCTAGCTCTTTCAGGCTCTCTGGCCTTCCCTTTCTCACACACATTTCAGCTTTGGATTTTGAGCTGTAGCTCAGCTGATTCTTTCCTTTTCTTTGTTACCCCCATAACCAGAGCTTTCCTATGGCACCTTTGCCTTTGCTTCAACTCTGTCCCAAAATGAACTGGCAAATGGTATTTTTTCCCTCTCTTAGCTTTTCTATCTATAGATCTATCCCAGGCCTCTTCTTAACTTCTTTTCCTTTGTTTTCCTAGCCCCCTGTTTTTGGGGAACCTATGGGATGTGACAGACAGAGAAATAGACCGTTACACAGAAGCACTGCTGCAAGGCTGGCTGGAGGCTGGCTCGGGGGCTCCCCTCCTCTCCTATGTCATCCAGGCACGCCAGGCTCCCAGACTCAAATACCTCATCGGTGCTGCACCAGTAGCCTATGGCTTACCTGTGTCCCTCCAGTGATACTTAGAAAAAGTCTCCTTTTGGTCCTTACCTCTGGTTTCTTTGTCCAACCCCCTGCTTCTGAAATTCCCCCGTTTCATATTAAATGATTTTTTTCATTGTTTATGTGTTTTTACTCATTGTAATAAAGTTATTACTTAAAAACTTTGTTGTGCCTGGTTTATCTGAAGGGATTGCTAAAAACATTTCTCTGCACCTTCTTTGTTGGTGTTTTGACAAACTTGAGCTTTGTACTGTAAGTTTACATGACCTGTGGGTTACCTTACTTTGTGCCTATGCTCTTTATTTCACTTAAAGGCCAACATTTAAGGTAGAGAAAGTGAGTTTTTGAGTGTGGGGCAGTGGTGTTGGCAGCAGATGGGTCTAACTCTCCCAACAGAAAATGTTTCTGGGGAGGAGTGGAGGGAAAACCTGCATAAAGTTGCGGGGAGGGGGGGGGTCCTGTGGCGTTTGAAAGGGCTTTGCCCTGGTCAGGCTATTTCTTTTCCTCTGACGACCGAGGTTGCCTTCAAGGTGGATGGGCCAGGAGGAGACAGCCAGAGGGAATAGTAACCTTTCCCTTCTCGGAGCTAAATTGTGTGATACAAAGTGCATTCAGTGAACAAGTAATAAGTGCCTCCTGGTGTGCCAGAGACTGCGCCTACAGAACAGAGGCTGGTTCTGCGCTATAGCCAGTAGTATCACTATCCCTGGGGAGGAAATCCTTTATTTAAGAAAATTCTGCCATTTAGTCTTAGAGCTTTGCCAGGAGGGCTGAGAAACTATGCCTTGACCCTTACTATAAAGCCAGGATGTATCGGGGCAGCACTCGAACCCAGGACTTCCAGGCTGCCGGCCCCTTCTATCCATCCTACTTCACTATCTTCTCCGGCTACAAAACACTAGGTGAGATGGCCCTTTTTCCCCGCAGGAGTTGGGGGGATACCCGTGCGCGAAGAAGCGAACGCGGTCTAGACACAACACTAACACGGCATTTCTAACTCTGCAAAGAGCAGGGCAACGTGCTGGATACATTGTAGCGGGCGGGGCGGGGCGGGGCGGCCCTGCCTTTCATCTTTCCCAGCTGCGGGGCCGCACCAGGAGCCCCGGAGGAGCGCCTGTCCACGGAATCCTGGGCTAGGGGCTGGCCGGCGGCCGAGGATCATAGAGAGGGCCGGTAGGGCGAGCACCTCCCCGCGCCATAGAGACGCGCCCGGGGGGAGGCTAGAGCGCCTCCCACGCCCGGCGTGCCCCGCTCTTGTCCAGCCTCCCAACATGGCGCAGTCAGTGAACATCACGGAGCTGTCGCTGTCGCAGCTGGAGATGCTCAAGAACCAGCTGGACCAGGTGAGGCCGGGCCCGGGGCGCCCAGGACCCCAGGCCCCCACCCATCCCTGCCGGGCCCCCTCCTCATTCTTGTTTCCCTCCCCCCCACTCCCCTTACAGGAGGTGGAGTTTCTCTCCTCATCCATCGCGCAGCTCAAGGTTGTACAGACCAAATACGTGGAGGCCAAGGAGTGTCTGAATGTGCTGAACAAGAGCAACGAGGGTACGGGGGGAGGATGGGCAGAGGGCAGCCTCGGGGAGGGGAGGAGGGAGGGCAGTCTCTGGGGGCTGCATGGGAGGGAAGAAGCTCAGGGGCTTGGGAGCAGAGAGAAGAGGGCAACCTCGGAGGGATGAGAGGATCTGGGAGAGAAGGCAAGGTGGGGATGGCTTTTTGCGTTGTTAATCCGTCACCCCAAATTTAAGAAGTAGCTATTCAGATATATCATTCTCTGCCCCCTCCGTCCTCGAACCAAAGGCCTTCAATTTCTTTTACATTTTGACTTGTAAGGTAAAATGTCAGAATCCCCCCCTTCCTTCCTTTTCCTACCACCTCAGTTTTTGTTATCAGACTGAATAGGTCCAGCCTGGAAAAACTCCTGGTTGGGTTTTCTTTTAGTATCTTGTCTGTAAGCCCTGATTGCCTTCCCCAGATGTTTATGTCTGTTACCTTCACAGGGAAAGAATTACTCGTCCCATTGACCAGTTCTGTATCCTTCCCACTGGGGGCTGCCGTTTTCCTTCCCATCTAGAAAACAGTTTTGGTTCCTCCAGCAGAATCCTTTCCATGCTTGACTGAGAAAATACCTCCCTCACATGGTGCCAGAGGATGTTCCTCAGTTATCCTGCTGTCATCTAACCCGAGCTCTCTTCAGATGTTTGAGTTCTGGTGGCCTGTGGAAAGGGAAAGAGTTAATTCTAACTCTCCGATCCAAGTTTATACTGGCCCTTTGAGTACTGGGGTCCATGTACCAGATTAAGTATAAGGCAACATCCTGGCTACCACAGTATAGGTAGAGCTGAGATCAAGCAATATCCTTGCCTCTTAGGAGCTTATTAGTGAAACAAAATGAGCTATAAACTATATACAAGTCACAGAGGAGTAGAGATGAGGGAAGGAAGAAGACAGCGTGTGTATTTCTTTACAATTTGAGATTAACTATCCCTTTACCTTATGTCAGTAGACTATTCTGGGCACTGTGCAAGTCGGGTTATAGAGAAAAATCCCTGTATTTTGTAGTCTAATAGACTTCCTTAAACTGTAAAACAGAAATAACTACAGATGGAAGATAGTTGACTAATAGACATCGAATGACTTCATAGAATTTACTTCATACGTAAATCAAGAGCCAAGTTGTTGGTGGGTTGGGAAATGAGGCCTGGGTTTTATATTTGCTGGTGGCGTTCAGTTACGTCTCTCTCTTTGTGACCCCTTTTGAGATATTCTTGGCAAAGATACTAGAGTGGTTTGCCATTTCTTCTCCAGCTTATTTTAAAGATAAGGAAACTGAGGCAAACAGGTTACATGACTTGCCCAAGGTCACACAGCTAGTGTCTGAGGCCAAATTTGAACTGGTGCTCTGTCCACTGTACTACCTATCACTGCCCATATATTCAGTAGGCTTGTGGAAAGTTGTCTTTTATCAGTCTGTGAGTGCTAATGGGAGGAACATTTCAGGAAGAGCAATGGATTTAGTTTTGATTGTTGAGAAGGTGGAATTGGAATTTTCAATGTGGGCACCTTCTTATAGATTCCTAGGGCTCTCTGTTCACAGAGAACCCCTTGACCTTTCTCCTCATTATCCATTTCATTTTATGCTAAGTTCATAACTCTCTAGCTTCAGAACCCCTGGATTATCATCATGTGCTTCATGGCTTTTGAGAGGGGAAGTGAAGGTGTCCCAGGCTGGGCTAGCCCTTTCCTTAATCCTCACCCCTCAGATGTATGTACCTGGGAAGCTACATGATGTGGAGCATGTTCTCATTGATGTAGGAACTGGCTACTATGTGGAGAAGGTAAGTTGGTGAGAGAGGAGGGGGTGGGAGACAGCATCATTGACAGTGGGGATACCTCTCCCTGAGAGTACATGAGACTCATTAACTTCTTCTCCTTTGGCAGTCAGCAGATGATGCTAAAGACTTCTTCAAGAGGAAGATTGACTTCCTCACTAAGCAGATGGAAAAAATTCAGCCCGCTCTGCAGGAGAAGCATGCCATGAAGCAGGGTGAGGCCATGGGTTCTAGGAGAAGTGAACCTCCTTTTTGTTTGATTCCAGGAATAGCACTGTCTTCCCATCTTTCTTTGTTGCCTTTGTCGTTCTCTGGGTGTCACATGTGCTTGACTGGGCAATTACCCTTCTGTGAGTAGAGTTGTCCTAGGCTTTGTGGAGAGATTCAGAGATAGGTGAAGATGTGCCTGCTGTGGGGGTGGTCCCAGTTTAGTGGGGGATAAAAAACATATTTGCCTCAGAAGATCTGTGACTTCATCAATGTGGGTGCTCCCTCCGCGGTACAAACTACAACCCATCCACAGTCTATGATCACGTGCAGTTCTTGTCTTTGTTTTTCCATTGCTGTCTGCCCAGGGGACCGGAAGCATTCCCTTGGCTCTTTTACTATGTCCAGGGTGCCAGTGTAGCACTCTATCTGTCCATCTGTTACACAACTTCTTACTCTAAAAACTTCATTGATAATATGGCACACCCTACTTTTGCCTGCCATGATCTTTTCACTGCACTTTGGGTCATTTAAATGTCGATTCTTTTGAGATAGTAGAGTTCCATGATTCAACCACATAGCATCATCTGGAAACCACTGCCAGTAAAAAGAAGGGCTTTTGTGGCAGGGAACAGTTTGGAATTACAGAAAATGCTGTTCGGCTTCCCCAGTACAATTCAACCCGATCTTAGATAACTTTTTTTTTTTTGGTTAGGCAATTGGGGTTAAGTGACTTGCCCAGAGTCACACAGCTAGTGAGCGTTATGTGTCTCAGGCCGGATTTGAACTCAGGTCTTCCTGACTGCAGGGCCGGTGCTTTCTCCACTGCGCTACCTAGCTGCCCCCTCAACCCGATCTTAAACTCCCTATTCAGTTCACGACCCAGCATATTTGGACTGTCTACAATGCCTTTTTGAGATTTCTGTTTTCAGAAATTTCTGTTGCAACTGATTCTTCATCCACTTGTTTTTTCCTGAGTGGATTGCAAGGCTTATCTCTTTTAGGTGCTTTTTTTGGGTTTTCCTTAAAGATCATTTTTTGCTTTCTTGGGTTCAGTGTCTTCAGTATAATATCTTCTGTAAATGGGACCCTATGGAGAACCTTAAGGCATATCTCTTATGCTTCACTTGATGTCACTATTCAGAGAACTTTTAATGAAGTTATGTCCATGACCACATCTGTCATGGAATCCTGCATGATTTCAGTATATGTACTGAGACATCTTGTTGGAACAGAACTTTTAAAGCTTTGTGTTTTTCTACTGTGTCAAATGCATTTTGGAAAATATTTTGGGTTTTTTTTTATATTGTTGTCATTTTCCACTCTCAGTAGATGCTTCCTTTGTAAAGGAAGTATTAAACTCAGGAAAAACAGACCATCACATTGACCATATCTGATGGTATGTAGTGTTTTCTGTACCTGTAATCCACTGCTTCTCTACTGAAAGGAAATTATCTTTCAGCATCAGTTCTCTAAGTCAAGACTGGCCATTGAATTGAATCCTAATCTATTTTAATATTTTTCTTCCTTTACATTAACATGTTCACATCTGTCTTACTTTGGTTCTGTTTTGCTTTATATTAA